TATTTTTTTGTTGCAACGTCTGCAATTTATGCTGTTATATGTTGTTTTTAATATACTGGAAAAGAATTATAATAGAGAAGCAAAGGTTTAAAGCGGTCGCGTCATGCTGGATGAAGTTGTTTGTCTATCTCGCTGGACATTTCCAGGATGTGGCTTCCTCGTATCGCATCGTTAAGAAGTCGATGTGGCGCCACGATGATAGCAGACTGTATTTTAGAAACATATTTCGGATTGTTGTCTCTCTAACAAACAGTTTTAATACAGATTTCGACAAAAACGGAGTTCGATAAAACTACTACATATCAATATTCGAATATAATTAAATCAAAATTATTTAAATATAAAATTAAAAGCTTAAGCCTGATTTCGACCGTTAAAAATTTTTGCAATAAATTACTAAAGTTAATAATAATATGTAAAATAAATTATATAAAAAATGAAACATTTTTTGCACGCATTGGTTTTGCGGTTTTTTTTTTTTTTTTAATTTAGGAAATCAATGCTTCATTAAAATTTGTTCATGTTTTTATATCATTCGTGAAGGGAGACTCTCCTAACACGGCATGGACATCAAAACCAAGCTTATCTCGCGATATGAAAACATGTGACAACCAGGTTATGATAAACAATCCGTATGTTTGACCAACCGAGCCTGTCACAGGTTTCTCCAACACCAAACATATGTCGTTGTAATAATCATTGCATATGAAAAGATTAGACGCCCATGAGACTACCAGAAAATTTTATTCAGACATTTTTCAAATGAAACAAAAAAGAAGAATGAGTCTTTGACATTTTCTTCTCACTCCTCAGAGCAATGAAATACATTTCATCTTCACGATTTCCAAAATAAAATTTTATTACTTTTCATTTTGTATTAATTCACGTTCTCTCAAGACTTTCATCATTTCTTTATATTTCAAATTGCTACATACAACATATATCCTTTGTAAACATATATAGTAACTAACAAATAAGCAGCAACGGAACAAAAATTAGAATTCGTTCTAGGTGTAAACTAGTCTTCGTTATTAAAAACCATTTCTTGCCTATTGGACGATGGTTCGTGATCGAAGCCTGTATTTATTTTTTGCGTAATGCAACGCGTGATTATTACGTAACGAAACAAGTAAACAGACATCAATCGAGAACCGCGCAATATTTACTTGTATATGTAACGCATTCTCCTTCTCTCTCCTTCTCTATCTCTCTCTTTTTGCTGCCCTTCGCACGCGCGGTTAATTATGCCACTGATAGATATTACGCGGTAAATAATAACGCAACTACGTCAGAGTTGTTCTACGCGAAATCGCCGGAAAAAGCGTGGTTAAAAGCCGCCACCGCCGCCGCCACCGCCGCCGCGGCTGCAAGAGCGCAACCTTGGATAACAAAGGAACCTCTATCTTTACTTCCATTTTTGCTGTTTTTTTAACGCTTCCGCTCGCGAGACTCGATGCCTTCTTAATACCCGACTTCGCGACTCGAAGTCGCGAAACTTTCAACAGGAGATAATGACAAACGTCATAAATAGAGAGCACAGGCGTCATTTCTCCATTTTATCTCGATGTAGCTATGTACGTACTTTCAATTTCACCTCGCGCGACAAAGACATTCCCGGGCTCCGATAACTCTCTTGAATTCACAATTTTTCAACTTTTCCGTGATCGATGAAAAAGAATTCCAAGTTGACGATGAATAACATCATCATTTTCGCCGCGGCGTAACGTTCAACACGCGCGTGTCTTACAAGTGGAGTTTCCACGAGTCGAGAGGGAAACTTTTCCTTCCAACGTCGCGAACGTGTCGATGCCAATGGCAGGTCGAGAACAAAGAATGTAAACATGATAACGGGCGTATGCGGCGCATTGTGTGTTTCGAATGCATCGCAACGGCGGCGGCCCTCCGTTGTTGCGTGCGCGTGCAAAGTGCAGCGTAGTGCAGATAGAGAAGTAATATCGCAATTGGAAGAAAATTTATTTCATTTCATTTCATTTCATTTCATTTCATTTCACTTCACACGAATCGAAAGAGCCGTGAATGGAGATCGACAATCGCTACGATATTGTTCTAACAAACGAGAGTTGTCTGTGAGAAAAAGACGACGTTAAAACGGAAAAAAAAGGAAAACAAGAAGTTAATTGCATTAGATGACGCAATGAATGCGATGTCTATTTGTTCTCTTGTGTTTTATAGAGTTCGGAAACTGTGCAAGTGTCGGCGCGATATTCGGAAAAACACAGACATGCAACGCGATCGGGGCTTTCCCGGAAGACCACCGGCAGGATGGATATGCGATTTCGAGTCGTGTCGAGTCGGATAACGTCACGATTCAAAGTAGCTGAAAATCTATCGAGATAGTTTTCTCAAGTTTAATTAAGTCGTTAAGTCGACAATTTCGCATCAAAAAGCCACAAAATGCAACATTTGATTCGTCCAACAGATATGCGTGTAAGATATGCCATTATGTGCTGCGATTATCTAGCGTAATGTGACGTCAATCAGCAGCGGCGATGTCGTCACTCGGTTATTTTTTTTTTCTCAAATCGTCAACGAATGATATCGAGGAATCGCACATTCAACAAATATGATAACACGCAATTGGATGCATAATTCGTCTGCTCTGGGAAACTTAATGAGCTATCACGATTAAAAACTCATTTTACGTTATTAGACAAATAATTATCATTCACATATACGTTATATATGCATATATATTTATATATTTCGCAATCATTGGAATATATCTCGTTGTATAAATTATTTGTGTTTTATTTTATTTTATTTTAACAAGCGACATTGTTGTTACATTCACCTACAAGTGTAGACTTTACAAAGTAGTTGTGCGGAACAGTCAAGGCAGAGCTACGTGGATGTTTAATTACTCTAAAAAGCGCGCTTGCGTGGACGGTGGTTACGTGCACGAAATCAAACCGTGCGGCGAGTCTAAAGTGCAAACGTCGAAGAAAAACAAACGCGAGGAACAGCGAGACGATAATAACGACACTGGAAAATAAGCGCGCAATAATTTGTCTTTTTCGCCGAGAGACGAGGCGAGGATCTGCGCGTTCGGGGTTTCCCAACGAACGGAGCGACATCCGTGGCAATTTTTTTTACGATCGAGGCGTAAATAACGACGGTGACGATTAGAGGCGGAATCGTCACCTGAGCGAAACGACCTGCGGCAATCGCGGCCGGATTTACGAGCGAGTTGAAGTCTTTCGCGAGCGGGAGAGCTCGGAATAAATTCATTATCGGGGCGTCGCTAAGAGAACAGTTAACGACGGGACAACGCGCAAGGACGCGGCGTTAAGGCACCTCTCCTTTTTTTTTTTTCGCGACGGAGCCTAAAATGGGAATGATTTTCGACTCACCTCGAAACGGAGAGCTCGGGACGGCGGGAGGACGACCTCGTGCCTGTTCGTGAAGCTACGGTCTCTGTCTCAACGGCCTAACCTGAACTGATCGCGTTTCCTTTCACAGAAACGAAGCGTGGCACGTCTCGTACGCGTGCGTTTCTGACAATCGTCCTGACGTCACGCGGGAGCGTGTGCGAGGAAACGTCGCCACCGTCGTCGGCCTTGCGGTGAATTCGATAGACCGCCACCACACAACAAAGCGAGACGAGATAAAGAGAGGGAGAAATAGGAGGGAAAAAAAAAAAAAGGAAAATGGGAGAGACCAAGAACGGAATCCCAACGACGAAAGCAACCGCAGAAGGGGCCTGCCGCGCGACCACTTCGGACGACAGTCGCAGTGACACTGACAGCGCTTCTGTCATCGCGCCGTCGCCACATGGTCGTGCATGCGCGCGCGCACGGTCGCGTCGCTTCGGCCGTTCTCGGCCGCGCTCGGCTCTTTCTCGAGAGGACTTTACGCGTCGGAGCCGCCAGTCAGGAGAGTCCTCGGA